AAACACACACCTTATACTTTATGGACTGGATACGGCTCTGCATTTAGTCCACAAAGGTTTAAACACACACCACCCAGGTGTAATTACAATTTTACTACGGTGTGACCTCAACAGATGAAGTAGTTTGGAATGATGCATTTCGTTTTGATTGATGAAAGCCGGGTGCGCTGGTCCAGGCGTGATAGGGAATTATTGACCAGATGTGAGGGTGCACTTCCCATATATTACGAGGCCAATATGAGAAATACGATTAACAATACTTGTGCTTTGCGTGTTCTCCTCTACTAGAAACATAAGATATCTATCTGCAAAGTTAATGTTATAGTAAATATTATGACATGAATACTGATATATTCTATGTCACATGCCTATAGTTTATAGTTTTTTTCTTTTTTCATTGTTGTTTTAATTGCTAGTTTTTGTTTTAAATTCAGAAGCCCAAAGTAGGAACTTGAGCATTTCATATACTTAGGGGTTGACAGTTTAAAACTTGAAGGGGTGGCTATTAAAAAATATCTGTATTATAAAGAAAATTGTGTGAACAAACTCTACAGGGGAAAAAATTGCAAACGTATTGTATAATACCTGCTTATAATATTTTTATGATATTTGTACTGTGATATTCTATTTTATCATACACGGTTTACAGGAGTGTTGATTTTAGATTTAATATGGCACTGTGTAGAGTTTTCTGTTTCATCTGTGCCCTTTCATTTCCTGTGCATCATTATCTCACCAAATAATTAATAACATTATACTTTAATGTAATGTATGATGTATGTCACACAGTTTGGTGTGTTGTCTACCCATGGTACATGTATGTTTGTTATCCTGTTCATTATTAATATACTGGTATTAGGTAATTTATGTGTATACATATATGTACCGTGTTCTCACCAGAAATTAAATGTGTGAGGCAGATTTTTTCCGCAAGACAAATGAAGTATTTCTATCTTGTGTCACGTATCTGGTGAGAACTCTGTATATACGTACTTGTACCATACTTCTCAGGTAATAGTATACTTGCCCATCGTATTCATGTCCAGTTTTAACATTCATTGTACACTCTGCACAGACAAAGATTCTTTGTGCCCATCCTTGTACCTTATCACTGTACTGAGTTGGTATTTCGTACAGGTCTGCTTGATTTATTAGTAATAAACAAATTATTGAAATTTGACAATTGCGTCAATCTGAGAGAATGTTCTAATGTACAAATTACATTTTTCATGATTTCAGCATGAGTTGTATATTTCAAGGTGGTGGAGTTATCCAAATCATGACATGTCACAAGGAAAATAAGCCTGCTCCTTCTATGGTTGTATTAGAATCCAACATTTGTATAGGCTTTACCAAATGATCTGAATGCCATGTATGTAATGGCAAGTGTGGTCATCTATTTCCATGAAGTTCATGTAAAAATTGTGACAAAGCACAAAAACTGAAGCTTGATGCTGAGCTTGTTCTGCCACTGATTCGCTTGAAACTGCAACTAGGAAAAGAATTGTGAGAAATGATGCTTGTTATGCACATCAGCCCTATACGAATTGTGTTAAATGATCTATAGTTGAGTATTTCTAATTTCACAGAAGTTCATGTCGAGTGTGGACTCCACAACTTTTAGTAGACCACCCCTGACTCGACTGTGCACACAATTCCATGGAGTGGGCTGTCTGCAAGCCCAGAATTATTCCACCATCACACCTACAAAATATCCTTGCTCAAATTTTGTGTTTTTCAGGTAGACCACAGAGGTGGCTAAGATCCAGGGGTCTCGTACATCCCTGTCTTGAAGTAAATTGATGACATCACCAAGAAAGCAGCATTTGCATTATGTCTAGTTGGAGCATTGTCTGGACAACACATTTTCATTAGGTTAAGACTGATTGTAACGAGCAAGTGTCTGTATTTTTTGTTACTACATATATATTCACTAGAATGGTAGGTACATGCTAAGATTGATTAAGACATGGTTTCGCTTTATAAAATCAAATAAATTGTTTATTCTTGTTGTGATACATTAATATGTTATACAATTTTTTTATTTAAGCAATTGGCAATAGAGTTTCATTTGTTTTGGGATCAGGGTTATCTCGCCTTCATTGGGTGATCAAATAAACCATTTACTGTTTTATAGGCTTTTTAGTCACCGTTCGGACGCAGTCCGAAAACGGGGACTTATGTTTTGCCCTGTGTGCGTCCGTCCGTCCGTGCGTCCGTGATCACCTGTATCTCGAACATGCATGGACCGATTAAGTTCAAACTTCACTCATACATCACACATTATATGGGACATATGCACATGCATTTTTTTCATGATCCGATTAACGATAGCCGAATAGCGGCCATTTTAAGGCCGAAAATGCATCAAAATCGCA